AGCCAATATAACATCATGAACACTGTTCATAGACCATTCTAATGGGAGACTTGTGCCATAATTACCATTTGGTAATTTGTCAGCACCCATAAAACATACATAGCGAAATTCTTCAGAATCATCATCAAGACTAACTCCAGCCATCTTTAAAACATAGTTTAATGGAACGCCTTTCCAAACAGAAGTGCTCACAGCTGCTGCACCCCAATTGAAGCCAATTGATTGCTTTATCATATTTTCTTCCTTCCTTCTGTTTCCAGCGCAAACAAGAGTCACGTAAATTGGTATTATCTTTTGAAACCCTATCAGTTGATGTGTGCGTTAATATGGTAATTTCATGTATATCATTCCTATTATACCCGACTACCGTATTCTCCATAAAAGCAGCCTTTGAAATGATAAAATTTTCCTTCAAAATCCTTTGGTAGACATGACATCCATCATACAATCATCACTCGCCGTTAACAACTTTATTCGTTATGAGAATGAACATGCTAAAGACCAGATCACAAGCATGACAGACTCACAGCATGAAAAAGTTGAACAAAATTTCGATCCTTACATTCCTTCAAATACAATGATGGATCCTCGTGATGCAGATACCCCAGATAATTGGATTCCACGCCATCCTGAACTTATAAGATTGACAGGTAAGAATGATAAATCCCCGATTTAAGCCAATGAGATAAATCAAACCCATTTTTTTACAATCCTTGACAGGTAGACATCCATTTAATTGTGAGCCGCCATTATCGCTTTTAATGAAGGATGGATTTATAACACAAACTTCTCTACATTATGTGAGAAATCATGGTCCCGTACCAAAACTTAGTTGGGATACGCATCGTTTGGTGGTTGACGGGTATGCTCTCCCTTTTTAAAGTATTAATCAAGTGCAGAGTGTCCAGCTATTAATAGTTGAAAGTGTGTTTCGGATCTTTATTTTGCTATTTTTGCTGGCTAGCTATTAATAGTCTAAATAGCTGGCAAAAATAGCCAACCAATTAGCAATCACAGTCTATAGCGGTGGTCATTTACTGCGCCACAGACTTTTTTTAAAGTATCTTTCTTGAATTTAACGTCTCAAACAATTGATATGAAATTTTAATATGATGCATTTAATATACATCGTTTTTAGCCATGATTTTGAATTCGGCAAAGGAATGTCATAATTATTGCATGAATGGCAAATTTCGCATCTTAGCACAAAAAGCTATTTGCTAGGAATAGCGTTATTTTAGATGCTACGAATAGCTTGACACTTTGATCAAGTGTAATGCACGCAAAAATTTTAGTATACAGAGTATAAGTAATGATGTTAATGATCTTA